GTGTCGTGGAGAGGGAGGCAGCCGCGCTGAGATGAGCTCTGCCGCTGCCCTGGATTCACTGCCGGCATCCCTTCCCCCTGCTTTTGTCCCCAAACCGTCCCCGTTTCCGTCTGTCCTCCCCCCCCCCAGCCCCGCCGTCCCTTCCCCAGGTCACATCAGGAGAAAATCCCGGGGAACGGGAGGGGCAGAAGCAGCTGGAAAGTGGGGGGGGGACAGGGCATGAGCACCCCTAAAAGTCCTGGGGAGCTCTTTGCACCCCAGTAGGGTAAGAGGGGGGAGGAGGATTTGGGGTGTCCTCTTTGGCTCTTTGGAGAGCGAAGGCAGCCCAGGAGGGCTGTGATGAGGATGGTGCCTGGGGAGGGAGGGGAGGCAGCGCTGACATTTCAAAGAAACCTCCAAAGAAGGAAGCGGAGCAGAACGCCAGCTGCCTCCATCGCGCCGCGTCCCGCTGCGCCACCACCCCGGGACCACCCCGGACACCACCTCTCCCAGCCCCATTGCATCATCCACCTGCTCCTCCCGAAAAACCAGTGCCCTGGAATTTTGCTGAGCCTGGGGAGAGCCGGGTCGGCCACCAGTGCCCGGCTCAGGGATGTTCCCACTGTCCCCCGTCACACTCCTGGCAGGGACCAGCCAGGGATGGGAACCACGTCCCCCCAGCATGGGCAGAGGACGTGCCAACCCAGTGGCATCACCAAAAACCTACTGGTTTGGCACAGCCAAACACCTAAATCCATCCCTTTCAAGCTGCTCCCTGCGCATGGAGGAGCTGAGCGGTGCCACCACGGCTCTCCTCGCTGGCACGCTGCTGGCCACCAGCCACGGGGCAAGTCAGGAGTGCAGGGAGAAGCCTCCCCACCACAAGTCCACCCCGCTGGCAAAGCCACCACCACTGGCTGTCCCCGTGTCCCCGCAGCAGTGACTCACCTGCTCCTCAATCACTGCCACCCTCTGCAGCAAAGCAGCCGGGGTCAAGGTCCCCCAACGGCCCAGGGGTGCGTGCCAGCCCTCTGCCATGTGCCAAAACCGATGCTCACCCAGTGGCACAGTGGCCACAGAGGCAGGGGAGCCGCCAGCCGAAGCCGTGGCCCCTTTTGGGGTCAGCAGCCCCAGGGGACGGTGGGGCAGGAGCAGGAAAGACGGCTCCTGGCCGTGCCAGACGCTGCAGGTGGGAGCCACAGAGTCTGCCCGCAGCTGCACCGGAGGCACCGTCCCCCCCCAGTGTGGGGGTTTCGCCCCCACATCACCCCAGTTCAGTGCCACGGGGGGGCTGCGCAGGGAGCCTTGAACCCGGGTTCAGCCCTGGTTTCACCAGCCCAGGGCTTGCACTGTTCCCCCTGCACCAGCTGGGGCCATTTCACAGTCATTAGGATCCGGGGGTGGGCAGGAACTCACATCCTCCACGGCCCATCCAGCAGACACCCCCCAGGGCTCCCAACAGCAGCTCAGGGGTGGGGGGCTCCCCCAGAGCTCCAAGGAGAGCCACAGGGGAGAAGAGGCGGTGCTTTTCCTGGTGGTAAACATCAAAGAAAAACCCTCTGAACCTCCTCTTGCTTTCTCATAAAGGTGAGGAGCAAGAAGAGGGAATAAAGGCACTGACTGGAGAACAGCACTTTCACTCAATGCTGCTTTTCTTCCCCAAAGCTGAAGTTTGTTGGGAGCAGGAAGAAAACCCTCCTGCCTCCCCCTTGCTCTTCCGCAGCCCATGAAGGTCATGGATTTCCAGCTTTTGCAAACCACGGCAAAGCCCAAGGACCTCCCCCCTCCATGAACATGGTGTGGGGGTGCCGGACCCCCCCCCACATCACCCAGGAGCAGCACTGGGTGCAACCCAGCCCCGGCAGAGCCACCCCGGGCGGGAGGGCGGGATGCTTTATAGCTTCCATCTGGCAAGAAGCAGGTGAAATGGTGACAGGAGGGAGTGATTTCCCAGCACCAGCCCACGCCGAGGCTCGGGGCACCCAGGGCGCCGGGGGGAGTGGGTGTGGGGAGCAGTGAGCCCCCAGCACAGCTTGCCATGGGGCAAAGCACCCGTAGGTGATGCCAGTGGGGCAAAGAACCAGGGGGTGATGCCAACCACGCTCTTCCTGGGCAGGATTCCCAGCTGGCTGCATCGAGACCCCTCCTCATGGGGAGATCTCCTTGTTGGACATGGGATAGGACGTACTGGAAGGGATGGAAAAAGCCCTCTGGGGGCTGCTGTGGGGAGTGGGGGGGGGTCCTTTCCAACAGCAGACAACAAGCTCAGCTGGGCTGGCTGGATGCAGCCCCCCAAACCCCCTGTAGCACGGCAGACGTCAGCTAATGGGAACCATTCCTGCTCCATGGCCCTCCCCGGGGCGTCGGGGCTCCTGGCTGTTATCTGGCGGCTGCGAGGGCGGCAGGAGGAGGGGAGATGCAGGCTCAACGCCCAGGCTTTGGGGCCTGCCAAGCTCTAAATCCAGAGCAGAATGGCCAGGGAGGGGAGGCTGTGGGGAGCCCCACCACCCTGTCCCCACCAGCCCTGCCTGGGCCGTGGATCCAACCTCCATGTCCTCCCACACCCCAACCCGAATCTCAGCTCCTTGCTGGCCCCATCGCCCCAACCCTCGGGGCACTCGGCAGGGATGGGGGGGTTGCCATCGTGGCTTTTCCACCCTGGGACCATGGCAGGCAGCAGCAGGAGGAGGGGGAGGCAGGCGGCCAAGGCTGCCAGCAGCCCCCCTCCTGAGCGATAATGAAAACCCTTCATCTGGAGGTTTTCCCCGTGTTCTCGGGGCGAGCATCCAGGCAGCTCCCGAGCAAGGGGCTTGCGTGGCCACTGGCCAAACACGCCCTGTGCGCTGGCCTCCTTCCTCTGTTTTTCTAGCCCTTTCTTCACCTCTCCCCCTCCTCCCGAGCCACATCCCTCTCCTCCGACAGGAGCCCTTGAAAACCCTTCTCTCCCCGTTAACTGCAGCGCTCAGCACCCATGGGACGGGATGGGGGGGTCACCCGCGGCCCCTGCAAAGGGGGTTGGCAGAGAAAATCCACCCTTGGATGAGAAAGTGCAAACTGCCGAGTCCTGTCTTGCAAAGGGCAGGAGTAAATCCATGATAATCCCCTAATAAACCAGACCCTCTGCACCCCCGGGGCT